TCCGGAAGTTGACTCAAAACTTTTACTGGGTATAGATTTCTGGAAAATATTTAAAATATTCCCTAATCACGTTAATAACATAGCACTTCTTGATAATAGTTCTCCGTGTATTCAAAAAATAGATACAAGTTCTGATCTACTTTTGCATACATATGAGAATTTAAGTGAAGGCGAACGGTTGTTAGCTGATGATGTAATCAGACAATTTAAGGAAATATCTTATGAAGAGAAGGGTTTGGGAAGAACTCACTTGATTACTCATACTATAGACACTGGAGATAGCAAACCGATTCGCCAAAGGTACTACCGATTATCTCCAGAAAAACAAAAACTTATTGTAGATCAGGTTGATGAGATGCTTTCTCTCGATGTTATAGAACCGTCTGAGAGTCCATGGCTTTCACCAGTCTTAGTTGTAGGCAAGAAGGATGGTAAACCACGACTTTGTTTGGATAGCAGGAAACTGAACTCAGTAACTAAAAAGGATGCTTACTGCCTACCATATGTTTCTGAAATACTAGACAATCTTAAGGACGCTAGGTATTTATCCAGTCTAGATTTATCTAAATCATTCTGGCAGGTGCCTATTAGGGAGGAGGATCGAGAAAAGACTGCATTTTACGTTCCCAGTAGGGGCACTTTTCAGTTCAAAGTCACCGCCTTTGGCTTAACTAACGCACCCGCAACACAACAACGTCTTGTAGATACTCTCTTTGGACCGGAATTTGAACTGAAGGTGTTTGTATTTGTTGATGACGTCATCATTATTAGTCAAACATTTGACGAACATGTAGCACTCCTTAATCGGGTTTTCGTTAAATTGAAGGATGCAAATTTGACTATAAATTTAAGTAAATGTCATTTCTTTCGTAGTCAACTGCGGTACTTAGGGTATATAGTTGATGCACAAGGGCTGCGTACAGATCCAGAAAAGGTGGAGGCTATGCTAAAGTACCCCACGCCTACAAATAGGAAAGAAGTAAAACGCTTCCTAGGCACAGCCTCGTGGTATAGGAGATTCATACCAAATTTTAGTACGATAGCTGGTCCCTTGAATAAGCTTACGTCTACAAAAAAAAAGTCGCCACCATTTCATTGGTCAGATGAAGCTGATCAGGCCTTTCTTGAACTAAAGTCTTTATTAGTTAAGGCCCCAATTCTAGCTTGTCCAAACTTTGATCATCCTTTTGAGGTGCATACAGATGCCAGCAATTTTGGTATAGGTGCAATGCTCTCACAAACAATTAACGGTACAGAGCATCCAATCGCCTTTATGAGTAGGTCCCTTACGGATGCTGAAAAGAATTATAGTGTAACTGAGAGGGAAACGTTGGCAGTTCTTATTGCACTTGAACACTGGCGTTGCTACCTCGAAAATGGGAAAACCTTCACGGTATTCACCGACCATTCTGCTATAAAATGGTTTTTATCTATATCGAATCCAACAGGACGCCTGGCCAGATGGGGAATCCGGCTTTCAACTTTTGATTTCGTTGTAAGGCACCGTCGTGGCAAGGATAATGTTATACCTGATTCTTTATCTCGATCGTTGCCACTCTCATTGATTTCGGCTGAGCCTACTACTAGTGATTCGTGGTATTTAAATATATACAATAGTTGCAAGGAATCCTCTTCTAGTTGTCCTAACTATCGTATAGAAAATGGTAAGCTTTACAGGTACATGAGAAATAAAAATTTTCTTACTACCGAGTTTCACTGGAAGGAAGTGATTCCAAAAGAAAATCGGAAAGTTGTTCTTAGAGCTAATCACGATAATCCCACGTCTGGTCACTTTGGAATTTTTAAAACTTTCAAAAGAGTGAGCTTAAATTACTTTTGGCCTAATATGCATTCAGACGTGGTGAACTTTGTGGCTGGCTGTGAGACATGCCAAGCTTATAAGATATCTACTCAGGGCACGTTAGGTACAATGGGTAGACCCAAGGAATGTTACCGACCCTTCCAGACAATATCGATCGACTTAGTCGGGCCTTTGCCACCTTCTAGAAAACAACACTGTTATCTGTTTGTTGTGACGTGCTGCTTTTCAAAATATTGTTTGATGTTTCCACTTCGGAGAGCTACTGCTGAATTGGTCAAACTTCACCTTGAAAATCATGTTTTTCTCGTACATGGCATTCCACAAACCATTATATTGGACAACGGTGTCCAATTCACAAGTCATAAACTTGACGATCTCTTCAAGGAATATAAGATACCTAATATTCATTTTACCCCGAAGTATACCCCACAAGTAAATACTGTAGAAAGATATAATAAAACAATAATGACTGCAGTGTCGACATTTGTAAATGATGACCACCGTTCTTGGGATGTTAACCTTTCTAAAATTCAGTTTGCTATAAATAACTCTATTAATGAGAGCACTGGTTATACACCTTCATTTTTGGTTCATGGAAGAGAATTAGTGACATGTGGATCACATTACATCGATAATGATGTTCCAAACGAAATAGTATTCCTACCTCGCGAGATATATGCTGAAAATTTGGGATATCTTCGGAAGTTTTTTGATAAAGTTCAAATCTCACTATGGAGGGCTCACAAAAAGAACTCACAACGATACGATCTTCGTCGGAAAGAGGCAGAATTTGAGGAGGGTGATATAGTGTGGAAGCGTACCTATTTTCAAAGTGACAAAGATGCACATTTGACTAAGAAATTGACACCTAAATATGTGAAATGTAAAATTAAACAAAAACGTTCTCCGTTGGTTTATGTGCTAGAAGACATGGCTGGTAATGACCTGGGAGCCTGGCACATTAAAGATCTGAAACTTTAGAGCGATTTTCTTTTGTGGATTTTTCTAATCAAGGCGGGAAAAATCCTTCTCTGGAAGGGGGATACTGTAACGTTGTTCTATTTAATGATAAAACAGTAAATTAATGTTTACGTGTCTCCGTATTAATTATGAATTGTTTATCATTATTTACAAACTGCAAATAAATTAAAATAAATAATAATCTTAAAACTATGTTAATTTTTAATGAAAACTTAATAACTACTAAAGAATAAATAATTATACGTTAAAAAAAAAAAATACTTAAAACCTAACTATATACAAATTAAATATTTACAAACAAACAGATCGCACGCAGATGTAATATATATATACAGCGATGTTGGCGCGGGCGCGGGTAGCATAAAAAACGATAACAAGTCGACCGCGCGGCGGCCGGCGGCGGCCAGCCGCTCGTGCCTGTTGCGAGCCACACTTACAAATGAATCTTGTTTGAAAACAGCTGTGTAACGCTTTTCAAAATATAAAGTCTGTTCGATTTTTACTAAGTCTTCGACTGACGATTCTTATTTTAAATAAATATATAAAAAAAAAAAAGTTTAAATAAATATAAGAAACACTTAGAAGTGTAGTGAAAAAATATAATCCCGTACTGGGTAAGTTGTGCATTTAACCAATTATTTAATGAGTAGAAACGTTTGAATTATTGTAGTTACTTATTTTACATTTCTAAGTATGCAGCTTTTGCTTAATTAATTTACTTAAGTTTAACAAGAATCACCGTAATATTTCATGATCAATAATAAAAGTCATTATTGATATATATTTTATATTGCTACCTACGTTCCATGTTCTTTTTTTTATTTCATTTAAATGCCATCAGTTTATGTAACCGTTACTGCTTTTTTTATTTATAACTGCCACTTCGACCCAGATTAATTAAGAATACTCTCTTCACTCCTGTACTAACTAGCTTTGCTAGATTCTACGATTTAATTGCTAATTTTAACGACCAACGCTAGTGGCAGTACCCGACTTCTCTTTCCGGGTAATAATGTGGCATTATTGTGACTTCTTCAGGAACTCCGTACGGATTAAGAAAATCACGCCAACTTTACTTATACTGGGAATTGATATTTGAGAATTGGAGAAGTGCCTTATGGAAACCAGAAATTGAAGCCCGGCGCACCGTAGAATTCACAGGAGTACAGGGAAGTTCTATCGAGTGATCTACCATCAGACCTCTAAGAAACCTACCCACGACCCTAGGGACCTTGACCTCGATTTTACTTATCGCAAATAAATATTCTTTCTTATATATCGTTCTTTTTTTTTATTTTTATCACTTAATAAGAAAAGAACGTGTCAAGGTCTCACGAAATAAATTTGTAGGAATTGGTTTTTTTTTTTTATGAGTACCTACTTGTAATAATTTTCACTATTTAAATTCTATTTGCCTCATCATTGATCACTATTTCATGCAATTAGTTTACCATCTGCACCTGTAGCTTCGCTTCGCTTCTCCATCTCCTCGGTTGCAGTTTCACTGATGCATTTTAATAGTGAACAATATTAAAATACCCGCTGTTACACTATTCCAGGGTGCACCCCTACGGCAAGGCCGATTGGACATAACGTGATTTTTGGATCAGAAGGTCATCCCCTAGCACACCGCGCCGTGGACGGACTCCTCCTTTACCAGGGCAGTGGTATTCCTTGATTTTTTATTGCGCATCCGATCGACGAATGATGAATCCACCCCCATGTTAATTATAATAAGTAATAAATTGTAAAACTGTATAAGCTATCTCATTTACCATCATCAGCTCACCGGCACATCCTATCGTGAATATCCATAAAGTTGCTAAATTAGCAAATTGGCACATATAAAATAATTAACCAGTAATAACATAGTTATACAGGTTTGAAACACGTATATATTTATTACTCTAGGCAAATAACAAAAATAAACAACATTCAATTCTTTTTTCCGACTAACGTTGTTTTTGTCAACTCTACTCTGTGTGCGTTTCGTTGACCTTGACACGCACAGTCGGTCGGTCGGGTTCGCGCGCAAATGGCACTAGTGGGCTCGTTTTTTACGCTGTGTTTATAAAATGTTTTGAGAATCAAATATTGTGTTTCAAGGTGTATAATTTATGTGATCGCTTCTTGAGGATGTAAATAATGAAGAACAAGTGTTATTTGAATCAAAGTGCATGGTGATTTTGTGTATGAGATGTTGAAAGTGCGTGCAAAGTGTAAAAGTAAGAAAACCTAGGATTTTGACAACAGTTTTCAGCGACTGGTAAGTACTTTTAGAGAATAGGTTATAGATAATCCAATCCCAAATTTAATTACGATAATGGTGATATATAATTCATACCATTTTATTATACTGTATTGATAGAAAAACAAGATTTTCGAAGTCCTATAAAAAAAACAAGTGACAGCCGTCAGATTCGTATCATTTACGGCCATTTTTTTTTTACTTAATCGCGTGACGGGTTAATTCGAACAGTACTGTAATACATCAAACATTTCGCCCCCAGTTGCCTGTTTCATTTCAAAATATACCTCCACAATCTCAGTTTTCACACCAAACTTTTGTTCCACCATCAACACTACCGTACCAAACTGTACCACTAAATGTACTATCACCAATACAATCAACTGTACCATCACCACAATTGCCTCCGAAATCTCCAACCACTTCTGCTGCCCAGTTTTATCGTGTTTACGGCGAAGAATTATCAAATACTCCATCTCCATATTTAATAAATTCTTCTACAATGGATTCCATTGATTTTGCGGATGAAAATATGTTGTAACAAAATAATTACTTTTTAAACTAAAAAAAATAATTGATTTTTATTTTACTTACTGAATTGTAACAGCTAACATCTCGACAGGCTGAATGCAGTTTCTCATTTTTGAATCCTGACGTTGCAAAGAGTTCTTCAAACGGTTATGTAATTCGTCACAGCAAACGACGAGCTTCAAAAAGGGAAGGCGGCCTTGGAAAATGCAGGGAATATGAAGAGGGAGCGTAAAATCACAGCACTTGAAAGTCTACAAACTCTATATGAGATAGTGCTCTCCCTCTCAGATTCCAGGTCTAGACACAAGTACAATCTGGAGGTAGAAAGATCCAGACACGCGAAGGAGCTGGTGAGGGTGGAAAGGGCACACATAAAAGCCCTCCAGGACACAGTGCGCACAACATCCGCGCAACTACAAAGGACCAAACAAGATATAGCAAAGGTCCAGGATGACACTAACGCAATTCGCAACTGGCTTGGATATGAAACAAAACAGCCATATGAAAATATCAATAAAATAGAGGCCATGGTAAGGAAGCTGGAGAACACCATGGCCGATTACACATCCACATCAAAAAACACAGAGGGCGTCAAGTCGCAAAAAACATCTGATTGTTTGACAGAAGTCGTAAACAAGATCTACGAGGAGACTAAAAAACTGTCAAACCAATTTGACGAGCTGAGGAGGGGGATTTCTGAGGCCCGGGCAGAGCTACAGCAACAACAGCAGCAAACCCGGGCAGAAATTAACACATCAACAGAAACCCTCAAAAACTCTGTCCTAGCCAAAACAGAAGAATCTACACAACACATCATCACCAAATTAGAGGCAGAGTGCAAAATCTCCAGGGAACACCTCGACAACTGGAGGCCTCTCACCCCTCCCACCATCCCGGCCGGACAGGGGGACGCCCTTTTTGCGGAGTAGCTCCAACCGCTGGTGGAAAAAATGGAGGCCATGAGTTCGGAATTAAGAACCATCCGAACTCAGAAAGATAGAACTCCTTCCCCAGGGAAAACCCTCCAAGAGGAACTGGAGTTAACCGCCCCTTTAACATCATAGCGGGCCGGTCGCCTCACCTACGCTGCAGCAGTGCAGGCGCCCTCATCAGACACCCCCAGCCACAAAGGTCCTACCCGCCACCCCGCCCCATACCAAACTACACTGTCATAGTATCATCGTCAAACCCCAAGAACACCGGGGAAAACATCCTAGACGAAATCAGGGAGGCGCTCGACACAAAAAGTACGGGCGCCAGGGTGGATAGGGCCTAAAAGGCCAAAAACCAAAAAATTATATTAAAGTGCCGTACCAGGGAGGACCTGCATTTGGCACAACAAAGGGTAAGCACAAACAAAACTCTTAAGGCCCAAATCCCAAAAACCAACAAGCCTCTGGTGGTCATAAAGGACGTGCTGGCCTACCATAAGGAAGAAGACATCGTGGTTAACATCATGTCACAAAATAAACACATCCTCGGGGACCTTGGGGTGGACAGCACTGCATTAAGGGTGAAGTACAGGAGGAAAGCAAGAAACCCCCTGGAATGCCATCCGGTCCTCGAAGTACCACCAGAGGTCCACAAAAAACTTATTGAGGCCGAATACATCTACATCGGCCTCCAAAAAAGACCAGTGCAGGACCAATCCCCCTTGGTGCAGTGCACAAAGTGTCTGGGTTACGGGCACACTAAAACGCTCTGCACCAAAACCGAATAATACTACAGCTACTGTGGCGGAAACCACAAGTGGGAAAGCTGCATTACAAGGAAAGAAAACAAAACCCCATCATGCATAAACTGCATAACACAAAAACACCCAGACATACACTACACGGCCTATAGCATGGAATGCAAGGAAAAAGCGAAGTGGGATTCTATTGCTAAGGGCCCACCACACAAAATAGCAACCACAAAATACACCGACACCCCGTCCAAAAGTAGCCTAAACATCATCCAGGCCAACCTACAGAGATCAAAACTAAACACCTTGGATCACCTATGATCTCTAGTCAGGGGCAGCTGACCGGTTTGCGCACCGGTCGGCATTGCACGCTCCTGCCTCGTCGAGGGGGCACGTCTCGAATGTCTCTGAGGCGTTCCCCCAACCCGAAGTGGGACCTGCCCTTCTCAGGGCGGGCCGAAATGGGGGCGAACCGCGCGGTGCATGGCCTCAAGGCCGCTCCCGTGCTTCGCCCACCATGAGAGCATCGTTGAGTTTTAGTGGGTAAACTCCTGTTTCTTGCCTAGCCCCTTCGGGGGTGGGGCCACAGGAAGAGTCCCACATAACCCATGAAGCCTGCGCAGGGTGTAACGGGTATGCGTAACGCATTTCTCAGCGTAAAAAAAAAAAGTCCCCCTATACCCAAGCAAACGAATTCCTGCAGTTACTGGGAAAAGCCAAAACAAACAGGTCGTGCGTCATCAGCATCGACGCACTAGCTATCGAGTACGACAGGGGGGAGGTCGCGGAACTCACTGGTTGCCTATTAACCTCAGAAAAACATGAGGTAATAGTCTGCGAGAATAGGGGAGAGGATCTAAGTTTCCTTCTCCCACCTCGTAACTATCTAGGCAAAGTGGGCACCCCCCAGGTCGAACCAGGGAACCAGGGAACCAACCCTAGAACCAAAACATGGATCCCTGAAGCTGCAGGAAGCTGTGGACAAAATAAAAGAAAAAAAGAAAAAAGAAGCTACAAAAGCTGATAAAACAAAACAACAACAAAAACTATAGGGAGCGTTAGGGGGCCTCTGCAGGATAATAGCGTCCGTGACTCACTCAATCCCAAACAGCATGAGGAGTCTTCTCGAAGAGGACGCTCAGGCAGAGGCACTCAGGCACTTCATGGATAAGCCAACGGGAAAAACTGCTGTCACACAAAATAAAAACAGGACCAGGGCAGACATGGGGCAGGTGACTGCGCCGGAATTGGCACCTCGTGGAGGCCCTCGGGAAAACTGGATAAACGCCTTCAGGGAGTTTCTAGGAGTCACGCGGGCTTCTAGCCAAGTCTATGCAGAAAGATGTTACAAGATAATAGATGCCTTCCGCAGGGACAACAAAGGACTCCTGGATATCCTTCTGAAGGAAGCGGAAGCAGCTATCTACAACAACAATTCCCAAGAGGTTCTCCACGGAAAACTCAAGGGGCCATACATGGCAGCATACAGCAGAACAGAGGGCTTCGTAAAGGCGATTGAAGAAGACACGGAGCCCTCTCTTTCACCAGACACTCTGGACCCCAAACTCAAACCTAAATTCCAAATTATATCAGAGGACCCCATAGTCGTCGTAGCCAAATGCACAAAAGTGATGCTCGACGACCAAATCCTTAAAATGGCCGAGAAGCTGCAGGGTAAACCGGGGGAGGAAACCGCCCTGGAATCCTGGAGCGTCCCGGAAATAGAATGGATCAATGGGGTCCCAGGCTGCGGCAAATGCAACCTGGGTGGCAAACAACTTCAACCCAACCACAGACATGGTGGCCAGGCCACCACTACCACTGAAGCAGCAAACGACCTGAGGGATAAAATCAAAACTAAATGGGGAGACGGGGTTGGTAAACGTATCCGCACCATCGCGTCCATACTGGTCAATGGAGTCAAGCAAAGCTGCAGTCGGATTTTCATAGACGAAGCTTTTATGAACCACTTTGACTCCGTCATGGTCATGATCACCCGCCAAACGGGCGCGGACAAAATCATTCTTCTGGGCGACGTTAACCAACTACTGTATATTGACAGGGAAAATCTTTTCAAGATGAAATATCACAACCCCAGCACAGTCGCAGTGAAAACCAAAGACCTCCTGTGCACCTATAGGAATCTCCAGGACGTAGCTTTCGCCCTAAGCCAAGTGTACGATGGGATTTACTCGGCCAAGCCCAAAATAAGATCACTAGCATTGAAAAAGTTCACGGGCTCCCGCATATCACCTGACACGCCAAATACCCTATACCTAACACACACACAGGAGGAAAAGGCGAACCTTACAAATCAGGGCTATGGGAGTGGCTCGGGATCTAAGATTCTCACCGTGCACGAAGCACAAGGGCAAACCTTCCAGTCGGTGGCCATCATAAGAATAAAGCGCAAGCGGACAAATCTCCACGACAGCGTCCCTCACGCTGTGGTGGCCATATCGCGCCAGACTGATGAGTGCGTCTATTACACTGACGACGAGGGTGACGTGATTGGCACACTCATCAGGAAAGCAATGCAGGCCTCCCCGGAGTGCATCCAAAATTACAATATTAAAATGGCAATCAAAAGTAGAAACGCGGGAGTGGTGGAGGCACTTACGGGTTACAAAATAACGCAAGACACCGCACCGACCTCGCCTCACAGCTCCCACAAAAAACCAAACCTATAACAATAAGTAAATATTTGTAAAACATCTTGTATCATCCATTTCAATAATCCAAATCACAAATAATCTGTAAAAGCATTCAGTATGTATAATTTAAACTTGCTTATTCACTTAAGTCTTCTACCAACTGCCCTCTCGCTCGGCAGCCAATCACTATTGCCGCGTTTGGCCGCCGAACGGGAGGGCTAACCTAAACCTAAACCCCAAATGTATACATAATATTAAGTTTCAAACATTACAAACATTATAAATGAAAAGGTTGAAGAAAAAAAAGGAAACCACAAAAATCATGACCCTTGCAGACTTTCGATCAGAGTTGGCAGAAACTCTTTACAAATATAGTTCCGCTAATAATAGAGGACGCCCAAGCACCCGTGCAATTAGGGAAGATCAACCCCCACTTAAAATGCGAAAAGGGAAACCTTGCCAAGTTTTGCCACCCCTTGAAGTTAGACTCGACCAAATGGATCATAACATCATAAGAACAGAAGCACGTGGTCGATGTATGATGCCAATTGTAATTTATTAAGTATAATTCGAGGTACTCCACTGAGCTTATTCAAGGACTATCTTAATGACAGACGACAACGGGTGAAGATAGGACAGTTCATTAGTGATGAGTCAGCATTGCCCTGTGGTGTACCACAAGGCTCAGTCTTAGGTCCTACCTTATTCCTTATTTACATTAACGACCTCTGTAAGATGAAGCTTGGGGGCACTAAGATCTTCACTTATGCTGATGATACTGCACGGTTATTACGGGTAGTTCCTGGGATGTTGTAAGAAGGGATGCTGAATCGGCTCTTGCTACTACTGCCCTTTGGTTAAGACATAATCTGTTGACCTTAAACACAACTAAAACTAACTTTATCTGCTATACCATTAATCGAAGAACCCAACCACTTAACTACAGTCTAAAGATTCATAGCAGTGACTATCCTGACTTCAATAGTAATTGTGACTGTCCTGCATTAAATAAACATACTTGCTGTAAATATCTGGGTATCATGATTGATCAGCATCTCGCATGGCACCATCATTTGGAACTAATCACTGGCAGAGTCAGGAATATGTTATGGATTTTTAATAAACTTAGATATTCTGCTAACGCAGATCTCCTGAACAAGGTTTATATTGCCCTTGTGCAATCTATAATAATTTACTGTATACCAGTTTGGGGTGGTGCATCCAAGGTAAAATTTCTTGAGGTTGAACGGGCACAAAGGTTACTACTCAAAATTATGTATTTTAAAAGACGTTTGTTCTCAACTCAGGCTCTTTACGCTTTGGCTAATGTACTTACTGTTCGTCAACTATTCATTTTACATACTATTTTATATAAACATAGGAAACTACCAGTTGATACCACTATTATGCATAAAAGAAGGTTTGGAAATGTAGCAAAATCAGTAATATGTAAAACCTATTTTGCTAAGCACCAACTTACTAATCAAGCCACACATCTGTACATCATTGTTAATAAATATCTGAATATCCACATGAGGACTACATATGAATGTAAAAGAATTGTAACTAGTTGGCTTAAAACGTTAAATTATGATGAGACTGAAGACATTATTGTTAAACCTGATAGATAGATTTGTATTTATATTTAGCTATATTTTGCTCAAGTAAAGTTCCTTATGTTAAATTGAATGTTCCTAAATGTTAAATTCTTTATGTTTATTCAAGTTACTAACGTTAAATTCTAAATTCCTGATGTTAAGTTAGAAGTTCCTATGTAAATTTTAAAAGTTGTACCTACCATTCTTGTTTAAGATTAATCAAGATCTGTTACAGAACTTAGTCTGTTGAAATAAATGATTAGTATTCAATTCTTGTAGCCCACAAATGTTTAAATTTTATACGTACAAATATAATAAACCTATACATGTTATGGGAGTGTGGTTGCTCCTGGCACAAATGTATTTTACATTTAATAGGGGCATGTCAGCCTCTGACTATTGTTAAAACTCTTGCTTAACGAAATAAACATTTTTCATTTTCATTTTTTTTAATATTCATAATTAAATGTTCTAACTGCAATGTTCACTTATGTAGTAAGAAATCCAAATATTGTTTCAACCATTTTCACAATTCTTCAACTTTGTAAAATCATAAGTATTTTGTAAAGCTAATGCATACTGTATCGAAAACAATACAAAAATATTTTTATAAAAAAAGAAAATGTTCCCACTAATATAGATTTTTTTTAAAAATTTTGTCTTTTGGGTAAATTTTTTTTTATCATGCATGTAAGGGTTGACTATATTTTAAATTCTATTAGAGTGTCAAAATTGAACATATGTAACCAAAAAACGATCAAAATGCAATATATAATTTTTTTTT